CATACATCATGGCTGACCTCATAATTTCATACTGAATTTAAAAACTTTTTAAAAATTTTTATATCAAAGAACTACTAATCAGGATATAATTAAAGAAATAAGAGTTGATGTTGCTTTTGGAATAATCCACCAATTTCTCTAAATGAAACACTATCTACAGATTTGCATCGAAGCGTTTCTTATGATAGTGATTTTAATCACTGTCAGATATCATCTATACTTGTCCCATCTATGCCTCGTCCACACTGTGCCTCGACCCCTCTGTGCTACCTTTTTTTTTTTTTTTTTAGGATTATGATTTATATAGCAACATGTTATTAAAAAATTTGGTATATTATAGACTGTTAGTAACATACATATGAATTTAAAAAATTAATATATTACAAAGTAAAATTATTTAATTTTGTAGTTGAAATCTATTATTATATCAAATCTAATTCAACAATAAATACTTTAAAAACATTAAAAATGAATGATTTTATTTATCTATATACAGAATATGGACTAAGTAACTTTTTAATTGTTAAAGTGGAATTTTTTTCTATTTTTGAGGGTAATATTTTAACTACATAATGATTGTAATCATTTAATGTATCGTTAAAAAAAGTTGGTTAGTGAGAGTTGAGAAAATGAATGAGAGCCATAAAAAAAACTCACATAATAAATAAACTTTAATATGAATAAGACATTTTTTTCAAACGAGGGTTTACTATAGTGATGGGGTACTTGATATTTATTAAAGTTATTGAATCTAAGTGAGATAAAAATCAAATGATTTAAAAATTTTTTTCTAACTCAAAAACTTTTGTTAGGTATTTTAAAATAAAATAAAATATAAAATCGAAAATTTGAACACAAAAATAGCATATGTTAGCCATTTTCACCATGAAGACAAAATGAAGTTCAACATTTTTTTTTTGCATTATAATGTATATTACATTAGCTTTAATTTAAGATATATATATAAAAGTGTCAGTATTTCCGAAACACTTTCAAAAGTTAAGTAGAAAAAGTAAATTTTTTATAGAAAAGTTGTCATTTTTAATCCCTCCTTGTGGGCAGGTAAAATGTCAGATTTATAAAAAAAAATGTACAAAATAATAGGTACGCACCTTATGTATCTTAATAAAAAAAAAATTGTATTGATTAGGTCATTTTAAAAAAAGTTATGGTAGTTTTAAGTAAAAAAAAATTGAAAAAATGTCAACAATCAGAAATTTTTAAGTTTTTTGGAGATTATCCCTATTTACGGGGAACGAGGGAAATTTATTATATGTCAATTAAATTATATAATATTCATGAAAGTCAGTGTATTCTCCTTGTAAAATATTGTTAAATAAAATAAAATACAAAACCTAGAATTTTAACATAAAAATAGCATATTTTTGAATACAGTAGTCATTTTCAACAAGAAGAAAATCTGTATTGCGAATTTTGTTTTTTCATAGTAAAGTATGTAATATAAGCTTCATTTTATAACTAAATAAAAGTGTCAATATTCCGGAATATTTTCAAAAATTTAATTGAAAAAGCTTTACTTGTGTGTGAAAATTGCTTTTATGAATCCCCCCTGTGGTTGGTTTAGAGTCATATTTTCAAAAAAATGATATCAAATGAAAGGAAAACATCTATGATTTCAATAAAAAAAAAAACGGTAGCACAGTGGGGTCGCGGCATAGTGGAGACATTGCATAGTAGGGTCCAGTATAGATTTAATCTGACAGTGATTAAAATCACTATCATAAGAAACGCTTCGATGCAAATCTGTAGATAGTGTTTAATTTAAAAAAATTGATGGATAATTGCAAAAGCAACATCAACTTCTATTAAAATAAAATACAAAACCCATAATTATCATACAAAAATAGTATATTTTTCAATATGGTAGCCATTTGCGTATAGAAGATAGATCGTCGGGACAAATTTTTTTTTTTCATTTTGTAGTACATAAAATAAGCTTTAATTTTATATATGTTTAAAGGACGCAGTATTTCCGGAACATTTTCAAAAATTAAGTTGAAAAAGTTATTTTTTGTAAAAAAGTTACTATTTTAAATCCTCCCAGTGAGCAGAATAAGTGTTAGATTTTCAAAAAAAATTATATCAAATGAAAGGGAAATATCTAAGGTTTCAATACAAAAAAATATTATTTTTATTTGTTCATTTTTGAAAAAGTTATGGCAGTTTTAAGTACAAAAAACATCCCGATAAAATGTAATTTTTATCGCAAACATTACATTTTTTTTTAAATTTTCGACAGCCATTTGCACATAGAAGATAAGATGTCGGGACAAATTTTTTTTTTTCATTTGATAGTATATAACATAACCTTTGATTTGATATATGTTTAAAGGACGCAGTATTTCCGGAACATTTTCAAAAGTTCAGTTGAAAAAGATCTATGTTTTTTACAATATTTTAAGTTTTGAACGCCCCCTATATAAGGGGAAATTGTCCAATTTTAATAAAAAGTATGTCAAATGAAAGATGTACTTATAATGTATTTAGAAAAAAAAAATTTGTGCTGATATATACATTTTTCAAAAAGTTATAGCATTTTTAAGTTGAAAATTTAAAATCGAAAATCGAAAATTTTAACACAAAAATAGTGTTTTTTTAACTACGGCAGCCGTTTAAATGTAGAAAAAAAAGTGTCGGGACAAATTTTTTTTTTTCATTTTGTAGTACATAAAATAAGCTTTAATTTGATATATGTTTAAAGGACGCAGTCTTTCCGGAACATTTTCAAAAATTAAGTTGAAAAAATTAATTTTTGTAAAAAAGTTGCCATTTTAAATCCCCCCCAATGAGCAGGTTAAGTGATAGATTTTCAAAAAAATGATATCAAATGAAAGGTAAATATCTAAGGTTTTAGTATAAAAAAAAATTATGTTGATTTGTTGATTTTTCAAAAAGTTATGGAAGTTTTAAGAAAAAAAAGTGAAAAAATTTCGAAAATTAGCGATTTTTAAATTTGTAATTTTTTTGGATATTTCCCCCATTTGCGGGGAACGAGGGAATTTTTTTCAATTTTTAAGGATAATGTCTCCAATTAGATACAATTTGTGATCTTTTGACGTATTTTTGAAAGAAATCGGTCCAGTGAGAGCTGAGAAAAAGTGGCAACAGACATTTTATGAATGGGTGCATTATAAATTTGTGAAGAACATTAAAATACAGGTGGTCTTCTTTTCCTTTTAAAATAATACCAACATTATTTACATAGGACACTTATTCAGGGACTTCAAATTACATCCATATTTATTATTTAAATAACAAATCAACCCAAGTTTTTAAAATAATATTTTTTTTCTTCGTATATTCAGTTATATTTTTTCAATAACTAAAAAATTGAAGTCATTTAAAGAAAAAGACACTTATTTTGTTTTACTAAAACGTTAACAGTTAGTTAAAATTTTATTGTTATTAGTAGATTTATATCTATTTAACAATGAACAGTTGTAATTGCAATTATAGTGTTTAGATGTTATTATACACTTTCATATTACACCCATTATATTTTAAATATAACTCATACTTTTTTTTATTTTTTAGAAAAATATTTAAGGTTTTCATATCTAAAATATCAACATGGATCTTTTTACTTCTTTATCTAGTTTAATCTAATGAATTAAATAAATAAATTTAATTCTTTTGTTAATGCGTCAGTAAAAATTAAAGGGGAGAGTGACAAATTAATTTTAAAATCACAACGAAGGTCATTTAAAACCTTATAGTATTGATAGTGAGTATAGACATTCATGACAGGTGAATATAGTTTTCATTATGATATTGCGTGTTCTTATGACCTTTAAATAATAAAAAATGAATTAAAATAATACAATTGTTCTTCTTTATAACTTTAAATCATTAACTCTCTCATGTATTTGAGCAAAGGAGGAAAAGGGAATAAGGGTCTAAAATATTAGCTTCCGGGTATATCATGCGTCATGCAATTCGCATAAGCATGATGCCTGATCGGCGCCTTCCTAGCCTTTCAGCAATATTATTATATTATGGAAAGAACATTTTGTGTACATATATTGCTCTCATTATCTGTTTATTTTTTTATTCTTATTTAATAGAAATCTCATTGCAGTTTTCTCACTTTTCATTTTGTAGTGCTTCGATACCAATGTTTAGCATAATTTTAGGTCTTTTATAATAATTTGATATTTTCCTCTAATATTCGTTACTTTAACTATATATCTATAACACAGGTACAAATTTAATAATGTGTACTTATAGAGCAAAAAGTGTAAATTAGGGAAACTCAAAACAAATTTTAGTGTTTTATTGATAATTTAACGTGTGACTAATAAAAATGGCAGTCTTTAGTCACTTTAAGCAAGTACCATTAAATTCAATGAACTTTGTAAAAATTAAATTGACATAATGTAATTTAATATTTTATTGTATTTATTACATAAATTAACTTAGATAATTAAATTCAATATTGAATTATAATAAAATAAATGTGATTCAAGACACCATGTTTTAAACCAATACAATTTATTCTTAATCGCATATACCAGATGTCTTGTATCACTTAAGTTTAAAAATAATATATCGAGCCTACGATGTGAGCTTCAAACTTTAATGGACCGTGAGATTATAAAATATACTTAGTGTAGTTTCTTTACTCCTGGGGTTAGTATATCCTAAATACTTATTGGCTTAACTGAACTTTATGATTGGTTCCCAATTCCAAACTTTCATAATTACTAAAGCAGAAAAAATATTATATCACTTTTTGTATTTTATAGATCTATTATACTTAAATAGAAGCTAAGATACAATTTTATTTCTAACATTTTATGAGAAGTATTAACCACATCTTGTACTGTAACATTTAAAATAAATTTGTGATGAATTTATTAGAATTTTATCTCTTACAAAATTAGATAAATTTGTTTTTGTTGGTAGTGATTTTCATTTATTTGTTACCATTTGTAATTTGTATTGCATAAACTTATATATGTTATAAAATTCTGTTTTAGCTGGATCTAATATCGTGGGAAAATTTACACAAAGTGTAAGGCGTATAGTTCAAGATGTCAAAGATGAAGGCACTGCTAGTGAGTAACGTTGATGCATTTATATTATTTTATATCAAATATTAAAAAAAAATTGTTAATTTCTCGACAAATTTCTAAAGATAAAAATAGCTACACATGCGATATGCATGTGTACATTTACTAAATGTCAGAACTTCCGAATCTTCTTACACTTTATAAAATACTTAAATATATATATATATATATATATATATATTTCCTATAACAAAAAACAAAGTTTACAATACTATAAGTTATAAGGGATTGCTAAAAAGAAATTAAAAAATATACCAATTATTTTAGCTTCGATGCGAAGCTGAGAAGGTATTAATTTTACTATGATGTGTTTTATTTTTTATTATTTTTTTTTTGTGTCTGTGAACGTTCAATCTAAGCTCTCGCTGAACCGATTTTGATGAAAAAAAATCCCTCGTTCCCGTAAACTGGGAAAATCCTCCAAAAAATTACAAATTACAAAAATCGCTAATTTTCGAATATTTTCAATTTTTTTTACTTAAAATTGCCATAACTTTTTTAAAAATGACCGAATCAATATAATTTTTTTTTTATAGATACCTTAGGTATTTAACTATCATTTTATATATTTTACATTTAACCTTTTACAAGCCACAGGAAGGGTATCAAAATGGCAACTTTTTTACAAAAAATTAACTTTTTCAACTTAACTTTTGAAAATGTTGCGGAAAGACTGACACTTTTATATATATCTTAAATTAAAGCTAATGTAATATACTTTAATTTGAAAAAAAAAATTGACCTCTGGATTTGCTTCATGGTGAAAATGACTACCGTATGCAAAAATATGCTATTTTTTAGAAAAAATTCTTGATATTATATTTTATATTATTTAACATTATGATGTTATAACTTTTTAAAAAATCAATTTTATTTTTTAATAATAAATACTTTATATATACCTCTTTTATTCGACATACTTTTTTTATTAATCGGACCATTTTTCTTTATACAGGGGGGGTTTGAACCTATAAAATTGCGTATAGAAAATAGAACTTTAAACTATAAATTTTCAATTGCTCTGATTTTTATCTCATTTAGATTCAATAACTTTAATTAAGATTAAGGATCCCATCACTGTAGTCGCCACTCGCGAGAAGAAATTTTTTAATCATATTAAAATTATTTTACTATATTTTAGGTTTTAGCTTCGATGCAAAGCTGAGAAGGTATTTTTTTGTGACTATCATTTATTTTCTCTGCTCTAACTTGACCTACATTTTTCAACGATACGTCAAATGGTTACAATTAATTGAAGATACTACCCTTAAAAATTGAAAAAAAAATTCTAATTTATCAATTAAACAGTTACTTATCCCATGTTCTCCATACAGACAATTAAAAGCATTCATTTTTAATGTTTTCAAAATATTTATTAACATATTATTGATATAATAAGTTTTAAATACAAAATTAAATCATTTTACTTTGTAATTTAATAATGTTTTTACTCTTTTTGTGTGTGCTACTACTAGACTATAATATTGCAAATTTGTTGGTAACATGGTGCTATATAAATCATTTTTAAAAAAAATGATTGTTAGTTTTTTCTGAATTAACAATGAATTTTTACAATTATAATCAAATGTTATTATATGCTCAATTGAGTAAATCTTTCTAACAACTTTGTTTTGATTGGTACATTTAGTTATAGTAAAAGTAATTAAAATTAATTAAGTTCTGATCATTTCAATTGCAGAATCTTTTTAAACACCAAAAGTTATTAGGAAATTATTACTTTTACTTCTATTTAAGTTATCTATTACGGTAAAAAAGCAAAAAAATATTGAGCTATTCTGATAAATTTACTATAAATAGTATTTATAAAATTTCCTAACTGCATATTAATATTAACGATACAATTTTTTTAATTCACATAAAATTTTCTATTTAATGATGTCAATTTCAAAGTTGCCAATTGAGCAAAAAGTTATGGTAAAATAAATAAATTTTTTTTTCATTATAAACATTCACAAAAATTAACTTTAAACGATTAAAAAATTGGTTAAATATGTCATTTTCCTTATTTTTAACATATTAATAATCAAAATCAGTATTAATTTAAAACAAATTTTTTTGTTGTTAATTATTTTTTTTTTATATAAAAATACTCATTTTTTAATAATAAGTAATAATATTAAAACTTAGAAGTAATAGAAAAAGTTTTATTGCACATTAGAAAACATCGGAAAAGTTGATTTAGAAAAGAATATTTTGGTTCTGATGAAAGTTCCTTGTAGTCTAGTGTGTTTATTCATAAGAAACAAACATTTTTTATTAAAAAGTATTGCATAAATCTCTTTAAATTATTATACGCGTTAAAAGTATATGAACATACAACTTCTTTTTATTTTTATAATATCTCCGTAAAAATTACAATATTATATTATTGAATATCAATTTCATACTAAATTTAATTACTATAATTATTATGTATTCATATATTATAATTATAAATCGGAATAAAATTAAGGGAATAAGAGTTATGATCGCTTTTGAAATAATCTACCAATCTCTTAAAATTAAACACTATCTACAGATTTGCATCGAAGCGTTTCTTATGATAGTGATTTTAATCACTGTCAGATATCATTATACTTGATCCAACTATGCCACGTCACCACTGTGCCGCGAACCCCCTGTGCTGGGTTTTTTTTTGTTATATTATGTATTTTTGTAATAATTAAATGGGTTAAGATAAATTGACAATTCTACACATATTATTATTTAGTTATAAAAAAATATGATCAAAAGTAATTGAAGTATTTATTTTAAATAAATACTAAACTTATAAAAAAATTACTATGCTGTAATAAGTAACTTTTTACAGCATTGTGTCTTAAAGGAAATTCAATTATCATAAAATGCTGCAATTAATAAATACAAAATGGATTTTTAATTTTACTAAAAATATAGAAATTATATATTTTTATAATGTAAAATAATCATGAGTTAAAATTTAAAAATAATTATAAAATTTAATTAAATGAAAATGGTTTGGCCGACCCCAAGTAGTTAGGATTAAGGTGAGGAAAAAGAAAAAGAATTAAATGAAAATGGAAAAATTTTCGGATTACAATAATTTTAAAATAATTCTTTATCATATATTATTTAATTATTTTTATTCTTCTCTTTAGTATAAATAAATATTACATTCATGGTGAGTTGTTTAATAAAACATCTTGTTTACTTTAATTGTTTATCAAAAAATTAAGATGTGATAAATCTTACAATTTTTTTTTTGTCGTTGAGAAGGATTTTTTATTTACTAAAACTCATAGTCATTTGAAAGATTTTTTTAACTCTAACAACCAAAATAGAAAAGGCTTTTTTTTAACTTTTATTATATTTTCTGTAGTTATTGACAGTTTATAAATTTTGTCACAAAGCCTCTTAAATCAACAATAAAAATTATTTGCATTTGATATAATTTTATGTGCTATTTATTTTTTATGGTACCAAGAAGCAGAATTATTAACACAAATATTATTTTAGACATCTATAAATATAAAAATGTGTTTTATAAAAACAGAGTTATAAAGTGTTATAAAATATTTTTATTTATAACTACAATTAAAAATGTAATATTAACATGCAATTATTAATGTATGGTCTATTAAGTGTATAAAACACTTAAATTAAATAGAAATTAAATTTTGTTTTTGTTTTATTCATACTCTTGAAAAAGTATACAGAGCAAAAATCATTTTGGAATCAACACTGATAAAATATCTAAAATAAATAAAAATAATAATTGAAAATAATTTAAGAATTATTTTCAGTTGTAATGTAATATTATAATAATAAATTAATAATATAGTTTAATATAAATATGGTGAATTTATTAATAACAATAGAAAATGTTAGTTTTAAATAAAACCATAAAAATGCTAACTTCACTGATTAAAATACAATTAACACTATAGTATTGTTTAATTATCCCTAATTTAAAACTATTTTTACTTTTTAAATATGCATTATCTTCAAGTATCATTTTTTCTTCATTTTGAAATTTATAATGAAGAAATTTAACTCTAAAGTTTTTTTAATGATTTTATCATTGGTACGATTTCTTTAAGTTGAGTTGAATTTATGTAACATTGCTGATTTTTTAAAAGTTTATAACCTTTTCTAATTTATTTTCCAAGTAATGACATATGTTTTTTCGCAGTCAGCAAAATGTTAAAGTTTAATAAATCTATCATGTTATCTGTACTAAAATCATAAGAACACTAATGAAGACGTTTTTTTTACCGATCTATTGTATTTTAAATAAAAAAATTTAGCTTAACCTATACAGAATTATTTAGGTTGGATTAAGTAAAAATGATTGCAATATTGTATTTAATCGTATGATATAAAAATGTATTTAAGTCGGTATAACTTCTTTTTAGTTCATAAGTAGTAAAAATGTAGGTAAGAATTATTTAATTTAGTTCCATCTATAAATTTAATAACGTTCTAAAATTAAAAACAATCATTTTCAAAAACTATTTTAGTTGTACATATACCTAAGATTAGAATTGTTTGTTATATTTTAGAACGAGCGTTATAAAAAAAATCTACTAGTCTATCTAAGAACACTAGTAAACATTTCACTAGTGCTGTATATTGATACTACTTAAATGATAATAGATATTTAACTGTCCTGATTTTAACCACTGAAACAATTTTTTAGTCAGTTAAATTTCGACCTAATAATTACTTTTATGATTATGAAATTCTTCACTATTAATTTTCTTTTTAATATAAAGAGACGTTCATATTACTTAAATTTTAATGAAATAAATGATAAAAATATTTATTTGAACATCGACGCAAGTCCAAAATATTAAATAAGTAGATAACAGTAACAATTGGTGTGTTTTGTGGAAACTAGTATAGTTAAACAAAAGAATTCGATGAAATACACCGAAAAAATACAACAAAAATTATAATGAATTATGTTATTTAATTTGAGGGAACGCGTTCGAAACCTCTGAACTTGCATCATTTATATAAAACAGGAATTTTTCTAATTTTCTAACAAAGAGTCTGTCAATAAAAAACATATTGTACTTCAATATTTAATTTTGAAGATTTTGCGACTTACGTAGTTTTTTAAATAAGTGATCCTAAATATACATAAATATATTATTTTTTTATCAAATAAATGTATATTTATTCATGTTAATATTAAAAGTTATTAATTTAAATGTAGTAGTATAATAGTGCATGTACAATAGAATTTCATTGAGCCTAATAATAATCATTTCAATGTTTATTTCATAATTTTGTAATATTTTAAATGTATATAATTTAGACAAATATTATAATGTCCATAAACAAACCTCGAATTTAGTATATTATATCGAATTTTAAGTGATGCAAAACTTCATAGGTTAAATCTTTATTAGAAAAGCTAAGCAATTATTATTTTTATTATTTCCAATGTAAAATCTTAAAACAATCGTTTTTAAATATTTTAAACAAACAAATAAAATAAACTTTTCATTGCTTACAATATAGTCAATACAAATTTTAGTAATTTAAATTTAAATTTAAGTAATAAATTTAAGAATAGCTGTAATGGGTTTTTTTACTTTAGTGTACACCTGTAACAAATTTGCACAAACTCACATTATTTAAAGTACTTAAAACAAAATTTATTCATACAAAATTATTTTTAATTTTTATACTATAATATTGTGCTCAAATCATAAAATATCATTTTTTTTTTTTTTTTGAAACTAATATACTTATAAGCTAACTAATTAATGCTATAACATAAATAAAATGTAGCATTATGTCATCAACCATGAAAAAAATGTCTTTCTCTCTTTAAAAATAATTTAATAACGCTTACAGAAATTAATTATTTAGCTTTTGATTCCTTCGATGAAATATTTACATTTCTAAAACCTTACAGATATATCATTAAGTAGTTTTAAGAAATATGCAATATATTTTAAAACATATGTCTATTTGTTTTATAAATTATTTTTTTTAAATAGTAAGTGACTTGAATACTATATTATATATATTTTAAATTATAATTTATTATTTCATTTTAACAAAATTAAAACTGCCAAATATTTACTGATAACAGAGTTAGCGAATCGAAGAATAAAACTATTAATTAAACACAATTTAAGTAAACTTTGAAATATTTTTTGAGTTAATCACATTTTTAGTGAATTAACTATACAAAAACTTTAACTTAACAGTGCGGTTAAGAAAATATGATTATTGTAACAGTATTAAAGATGTCAACAATTTGAAAAAATTACTGCTATAAATTATTCAAATAATGATTACTTTAGTATTAATAGTAACAGTTTTTTTGTTGTTCATAGATATGGCTTAAAAATTTTAGATTGTCTGATTAATGATCAATTGTCCATCACAACAATTATATTGTTAAATAAATTTTAGCTTGGCTGCAAAGCTAAGAAGGTATTGTTAAAACAAATGATGTTTTATTTTTTGTGTGTGTGTGTGTGTCTTTCATGAAAAATTCTTAATTCTCACTGATCGAATCATTTGGTTTACAAATCAAAAACACCTGTCTTATATCTAATTGAACCATCTACACTGAAAATTTGAAAAAAAATATTTAAGAAGTTTTAAGTCCAATGTAAGATATTAAATAAATAATAATATAGGCCAATTTAGAATAAAATATATGTACGTATGTTATTAAAAGCAAATTCAAAGAATGATTAAACAATTGAAATTAATAAATTTTATATGACGTTGTGAATTTCTTTGACTATTTGTACGCTAATTTAATGTTTTCTCAAAGTTTCACATAATAAATTATATTAAAATTTTCGTACATAATATTATAAATAATACTTTTTATTAACATCATTAAATGCGCACAATGGACCAACAGGCCTGAGTACAAGGGCATTATGTCCACTTCGATAACAACAACACCATTAAATAATCATTTTTATTTCATAATAAATTATTAAATGCCAACAATGCACTGGAAAACAAGTTGAGCTAATTTTTAACAATTAACTATACATAATCCGAAAAAATATTTGAAAAACATTTTTTCAATTCATATAATTTCATTCAAATAATTTAAAAAATGAATACATTCTCGTTTTTAATTCAATTTTATAAAATTCTTCAGTTTATCTAATTTGATTATTCGAGATACATAACTTTTCAACGTATATTAACATGATCTAAAAAAAATGATGATTTGTCAAGCCTTACTCGAATAAAATATTGAATTTTTTTTCATTTTTATTCAAAGCTATTTATTAATCAGAATTATACGTTCTAAATAAATTTCAATTAACATTTTTCTTAAAAAATAATATTGTTTTGAACTACGTAATTATTTAATACGTAATAATTTAACAGTAAATTTGAAAGAAATATAAATCAATATTCAGCTTTTTATTTAATTATAAATATGGTTTTTAGTAATTTGTTTTCTTAAGTACAGCCACGTATTTAGCACTTTAATTCTTTCCCTCGAGAAATTTAAAAACCATTGTTAAAAAAAAAATAAAACTAAAAACGTTCACCATCTCATTTATCTCATTTTAACTAATTATTTCTTATCTGCCCAAGAAAAAAAGTCACTAGGTATGTGTCTTCTTAAACAATATTTAATTTTGAATTGTATAGCAGATATGGAATATGAATATTTGATGTACTCATAGTGAATAAAAATTATAATAACTAGCGTTATTTTCTCTAGGTGGTCAAACAAAAGAAGAAGTCATAGAAACAAATGAAAGATTGAGAGCTGTTAGAATAAGATTAGAAGAATCTTACGATACGGCAAAAAAGTCGCTCATTACGTTAATGACAAAATATACTGAAAGCAAGTCAACTAGAAATGTTTTCCAAAGATACAATTTACTGAAAGCAATGATAAAGGTAGATGATTTTTTTATATATTCTTATTAAGAGAAACCTTATTTTATTTACCTTACGCCATTTTTTCTTTTACTAGTAATCAATTATATCTTATTTTAGTTGTCACATAAAATTTAAATAACTGTATCATTTTTATAATCTGATAAAATACAAGTTTATTATTTAACTAATATAAGTTAATAAATATTTTTAATATTTTAAAATAATGGTTTGAAAGTCTTTCTTTCAATAAATAAATTGTATAATGACATTCGACAGAAATATTGAATCTTAATTATACTCACTTTTGTAATTTATCGTAAAAATTATTCGTATTATGACAAAAGTCATTTTAAAAATTTTCATTGTAAATTTTAATCCTTTTTATGAAGCGATTCGAAGCAGAAAGATGCTATCAGTTAAATCACAAATACTATAGATTTAAAATGTTTTAAAACAAATGGAATTAGATTTTAATTTCACTTGGCATTTATCAACACACTTTTAGTGGGTATAACTCTATGTGTGCCTTGGCATTTAATAAGCTTCTAACGATCGTATGAAACATTCACGGCATAAAATAACCGGAAAAAGGTAAGAGCACAAGCAAACACGTTACCTTTATGTGCAGCTGAATTAGTAATAAAACTAGTAAAAAGCTTTAAACACAAACTACCTATTTTGTAATGTGTAAGCCATTTCTCCTATATAATATCATTCTTTCTATGACATTTACGATACACTTTGTAATGTTTAGGAAGTTATACGATTAGAGACTCAGTATTGGACTTTAGTGGAAATACCTAAACAAGAAAAACAAGAGACTGTACCATCTTTTGTGCTACGGGCATGTGGAATTGTTGAAAAATCACAAAAAACCAGTGATGGTGTTAAATCAGCAACAAAGGCTTCCGAAGAAGAAGAAAAAAAACGAGAACTACTTGAAAGGCTAGCTGGTAAATTTAATTTCAATTTAAATAACATACAGGTTGATTCACATAAAACTAGTCACTCAATTTCTCTTAAAATAATAATTATATTAAGAAAGCTGTTTTTAGGTTTCATGATTTTCTTGATTTATATATCAAGAAAAACATGAAAAGATAATAATGACTGATATATAAGTCATTAATTCTCTCTTTATGTCATCCCTTATACCTTATAAACATTTTAACTTTATTTGTTTAAATGAAAACATATATTTTTAATTTATATAATAATAAATAGTCTAATTAAGAAAATTACTGATGGATAACAACAATTGACCCATTATTTTGGATATTGTAACTATTTTAAGATATAGAGTGAAGGTGAGGTATGGGTTATGTTATTTTAATTATTACGTATTATTCTTCTGCGCTCTTCCACGACCTCTTCAAATCTATATTTGAAAATGTTAATAACTTTCGAAATACTAATTCAAAAGTTGTTATCAACCAATCATATTTTAAATATATTGTTATCTAAGAAGTTAGCTATATTGTATGTTGACTTTACTTTATGATTGATAAATTGAGAAAAGTATGTAAAAAAAGAAAATAATAAAACAACTGTTAATATTATTTTTATTTTTCAGTTTATCAAATAACGATTAAAAAAGGTGTTCAAAACTATATAATTTTAATGCAAAGAATTTGAATATTTTTTGTAAGAGATCTGATAAACATTTATCTCAATAATTTACCTTCACTATTATAAACTTAACAAATTTTATAATTATTTTTGTTCGTCACTATTTTAAAAGTTCATAAAATTTTAGTTTAATGTTTCATAAATCACGATGATTTTGATGAGTAAAATAATAATTTAAAATAGAGCTATTTAAAATATATTAAATAATATATAATATTGTTTATATTGTATAGATATCAAGGAGAAATTTTCGGTATATATTTTATAAAAAAATCGGAAATATTTTTACAAGAAAAATATTATGCTATATGTTATGTTGTGTTACTAGAGTTACATTGAGTTAGCACGTGTCTTTGTTTTTATACGTGACCTCTACACACATTTTTTACTAAAAAAAGAACGGTTGTTCCATATAAATATTTAATGAAACTTAGCGAGTATCTGTCAAACATCTAAAGTATCTGCGGCTTTAAGAAAAGTCCGAAGTGTACTTTGAAAATATTGTGTAATATAATCATTTATTTTGGAAGAGATATTATAAATATGGAAATATATTCAAGGAAACTGTGTGACGCTTATTCTATTTCATTTCGTATAATTTAAGTAAATTTGAATTTTTTTTAAGCCATTAAAAAGTTTTTATTCTGTTTACATAAAAATATAATGGCATATTTTAAAATCGACTCAACAAACATACACACTAAGACAGTTTTCATACTGTATTACATTGCTTTCAATCATTCTGGTATACATATATTCTTGTATTCTATTTAGATTCATAAAAGCAAAACGATCATAATTAATGACTGAACTATGGTTTGCTCGTGAGATATTGAGTAACGTTAAAGTTTCTTTGATACATGTGCGTGACTTCTTGTATTAGATGATTTGATGAACCTAAAGTTCGTGTAATTTTCAAAAACGTATTTTAAAGCTTTGTATCGTAGATTATTTAAACAATGGGTATTTATAAGTAATCCTCCAACCCCTACTAAAGCTTCACCAAAAGACCATTACTTAAAATAATTTTTGTGAAGTAATTAATTTTGAATTGATAAAAATGCTTAAAACCTATTCAGGTAAAAATAAAACGTGAAACACTAAATAAAACGTAATTTCCCAGCATAATTTGTAAAACATTATGTATATCTAAGTTAACATAAAATAATATTATAATGCTATGGTTAACGCGATAAAATGTTTGTTCTAAATTCTGTTTATTCTGAATATTTTCATTTTAACCACAAATTAAATTCCTTTGACAATATACACATTTCATAAACAAAATGGGGATAAATAAAATAGAGAAAACTGTATTGGTAAACATTGAATAGTAATTTTAAATCAAATAACCACAGTAAAATAATAAATAATTTTCATTAATGCATTAATTTGGAACTATTAAAACATCTTATTTGTATTGCACATCTTCATGTAGACCAAAATTGAGGGATTTAGGAAAACATTTTTCTAAAAATAAATGACATACCAATGGTTTGTCATAATTATTCAGCTGTTATATTTAATATAAACTTATTTCAAAACTGTTATCTAGTATTTAATTTTTAGCTTCGATGCGAAGCTGAGAAGGTATTGGTTTTACTATGATGTGTTTTTTTTTTTTTTTTTTTTTTTTTGTGTGTCTGTTACCACTTTTTCTCAGCTCTCACCGAACGGATTTCTTTCAACGATACGTCAAAAGATCACAAATCGTATCTAGTCGAAGACATTACCCTTCAAAATTGAAAAAATTTCCCTCGTTCCCTATAAATGGGGGAAACCTCCAAAAAAATTACAAATTTAAAAATCGCTAATTTTCGAAATTTTTTCAATTTTTTTTACTAAAAACTGCCGTAACTTTTTCAAAAATGAACATATCAATATAATTTTTTTTTATATAGATGCTTGATGTCTTTACCTATCATTTGGTATATTTTTTTTGTAAATCTGACACTTAACCTGCCCACAGGGGGGGATTTAAAATGACAACTTTTTCACAAAAATAGAACTTTTTCAACGTAACTTTTGAAAGTGTTCCGGAAGGTCTGACACTTTTATATATATCTTAAATTAAAGCTAATGTAGAATACTTTATAATGGTAAAAAAAAATTTCGGATTTTATTTTATCTTCATGGTGAAAACAGACATTAAACTTAATAAAAAAAATACGATTTTTGTAAAAAAATTCTTTTTTATATTTTTAACTTTATAATGCTATAACTTCTCGAAAGATGTATGGATCAATATAATTCTTTTTTTTGTAGATGCATGATGTCTTTACCTATCATTTGGTATATTTTTTTTATAAATCTGACTTTTTACCTGCCTACAGGGGGGGATTCAAAATGACAACTTTTTCACAAAAAATTGACTTTTTCAACTTAAATTTTGAAAGTGTTCCGGAAAGTCTGACACTTTTATATATATCTTAAATTAAAGCTAATGTAATATACTTTATCATGGAAAAAAAAAATTTCGGACTTTATTTTATCTTCAAGGTGAAAATGGCTACCAAATGCTATTATTGTGTGAAAATTCTCAATTTTATTTTTTACATTTTTAACATTATAATGCTATAACTTATTGAAAAGTGTATTGATCAATATAATTTTTTTATGGGAAATACTATTTTCTAATAATCTCTTTTTTATTCGACATACTTTGTCTTAATCAGGATATTAATAAGGAACTAGCAGTTTATGAAGCTTTTGGAATAATCCACCAATTTTTTAAAATTAAACACTATCTAAAGATTTGCATCGAAGCGTTTTTTTTTGATAGTGATTTTAATCACTGTCAGATATCATTATACTTGATCCAACTATGCCACGTCACCACTGTGCCGCGACCCCCCTGTGCTGGGTTTTTTATAATTATTATATAAATTATTACAATATTAAGAAGGAAGTATAATATTAGAAAGGTTGATATTATTAAAATAATTCGTTTTAATACTACTATAAGTGTCTTCTCAAGGGCTACTTGATATAAATAGTTTTAAATCCATAGAAAAAATATATGATTTTTTCATACCAAATAATTTTTTAGATATTAAAAATATGTCTACCTTTTTTCATTAACTATACCCTTCGATACCTCTTTCTCACTAATTAATTCTACCAGTCCCTCATTCCACGAGATATCCTCATTCAGTAATTTTTCAAAATACTATTTCCACCTTTTTTTCACATCATCATCACTCGAGAGTATCCTATTATCAACACTTTTTATACACCTTATATAATGATAATCTTTAGTACTTTTCTCTTTTACTTTTGCAAGTCTATAGACTTCTTTCTCGCCTTCCTTTGTTCCTATGTTACGGACACATTGCATCATAAAATAACAATTCAATTATATATTTATATATTTTTTATTACTATGTTTCAATTTTAGAACAATAAAATATAATGATTACATTAACAGAAAAAATTCTATTTAAAAAATAATGTGTTTACATTCATCAGAAAATTTAGATTGCGTTTAGTATGCATTTCGAATATTTTCTTTTAAGAAATGGTCATACAAAATAGATATTTTATAAAAATATTAAATCACTTATTTTTGAAAGGAGTACGTTAAGATAAAAGAAATTTTATAAATTTATAAACAAATTTAATAATAATAATAAATATTTTATTGTGAAATTAAAAATTAAAAATTTATCAAAAATAAATACTAATAATTTTATTTAATAATAAAATATACACACATAACTCTGTGGTTATTTTAGTCTTATATGGTTTATCAAAATCATAAAGAATACGATATTTTTGAAATAAAATCCATAAATTCTATACCTTATTACACTTACATTTATTAGATTCAAATTGGTCATTCTCAATAGGTTGGGTATTATTACCCACGTTTAGTACTCTATGCTCCTACTAAGTAAACCCTAGTTGCTTATAAAGACACTGTTTCATATCATTATTATCAATATCCTTGAAAACTCTAAAGATAAGATTACATCTATTTAATAGTAATTCTTATAAACATTAAATAACCGAACGAAGGTAATAGTTTTACTATGATGTGTCTTTTGTTTTTTTTGTCTCAGTTACCACATTTTTAAAATTTTTTTTTAAATTAAAACTGCCATAACTTTTTTAAAAATGACCTCATCAATATAATTTTTTTTTATTAAGATACATAAAGTGCGTACCCATCATTTGGTATATATTTTTTACAAATTTGACCCTTTATCTGCCCACAAGAAGGGATTTAAAATGACAACTTTTTCACAAAAAATTAACTTTTTCAACTTAACTTTTAAAAGTATTCCGAAAAGTTTGACACTTTAATATATATCATAATTAAATCTAATTTAATATACTTTATCATTAAAACAAAAAAATTTCGGACTTTATTTTGTCTTCACGGTGAAAATGGCTACTGAATGCTATTTTTGTGTGAAAATTCTTGATTTTATATTTTACATTATTAACTTTATTATGCTATAACTTTTTGAAAAATGTATGGATCAATACAATTTTGTCATCATCATTAGTATTTATATACATATTTCATTCGACATACTTTTTTTTAAATAAAAACATTTCCGTTTATATATATTCATATAATACACTTATAAATCATAAAACTTGTAATCAGGATATAAATAAGGAAATAGAAGATCATTTTAGAAAAATCCACCAACTTTTTAAAATTAAACACTATCTATAGATTTGCATTGAAGCATTTTTTATGATAATAATTTTAATTACTGTCAGATATCATTATACTTGACCCAACTATGCCACGTCCTCACTGTACTGGTTTTTTACTAAAATTATTATTATAAATAACCATTATTAACAATAATAAAGAACTTTTATTCTATAATTATTATTAAATTCATATGTTTATTTTGTTTTATAGATATGACAACTGCACAAATTGAAGCAGAAAATACTCAATTAACTAATGATCTCTATCGACTGCTAAAAAAGTACACAGGCCTCAGAAATTTGATTAGAGAGTTGAAGGTATATTTATGAGTTATTTAAATATATTACTGCGCAGTTGACCTCAATTATGAACTACGCAATCGTAAAAAATGATGGCTACTTTATAAGTTGTATTCGTTTACAGATGGAATATGTCAATTCAAAAGTATACCCAATATTTCCACGGTACAACATATTGAAAGACTTAATAAAAGACATAATGCATCATCCAGAATATATGGAAGTTTGTCATGAAGTTGACCCCGTGTAGTAAATGAAAGTGCTGAATAAAACAAATTTTTTACTTCTCTTTAGTTATAATGCATACAAAAATACAGTCAATGAGTATATTGTGTATGTTCATAGCTGAAAATGTTCGAATTTATTATGTATTAACAAAGTCATTCGTAAACTTCTTACAAAAAATCGTGCCAAGCATTTTAAAATGTTCTATAAACCAAACACTTCTACTATTTTTTTTAATTACAAAATGTGTATAAATAATTTTATTCAACATTTAAATATTAATACTTGTTAAACTGTACATTTTTCCCTGACACACATAGATTTAATCTATCATTATAAAATAAAAATAAAGTCCTGTTTGAAGTCTAATTAATTTAAAATAATATTTTATGTCGATAATTTAGTATAGAATTTTTTGAAAATACTAAAAGTGTTTACTATGGTTTAATCAGGCATTTTAAGAGAGCAGCAATAGGAGCACTTGCCCCGAATCCTGTGATTTCAAATTATATTTAAGACCCCGCATAAGTTGTATTATATTTTGCCCAAGGCCACACAAAAGCTTACGTCGTCACTGTATTTAATGTTTTGAATTAATGATTTATTGCAAAAAATATTTTATATTAAAATATTTATAATAATAATAATAATATAATAAAACCTATCACATTGCTAAATGTATAAAGAATTGAAAGCAAATTATTAAGTTAAATTATTATTTTAGACTAAATTATTAAACAAGTAGTGAATATTTAGTATGCTGGATCTTAATCATCAAACATAAATTCTATAATTTTTACTTAAAATTTGTAATTAAAAATCTATAATATTGCTTTTTATTAGATTTTTTTAATAAAAAATAATTCAAACTTAAACTAAAAAAAAACATTAATTTAAAGTATTGCAATCATTAACAATCTTTATTTAATTGTTGATACTTGTAAATTAAATTAAAACTTCACAGTTTTCCACAAGATTAATTTTTTATTAACTATTTGACTTATGTTTGTTGAATAATGATTCTTGTATAAAATTAAATTATATCCAAAAAGTATTAAACTAATATAAATTTTAAACTGTTTAAATTTGTATGAATAATTTTAAATTATTTATAATCAAATTAAATTAGCGAACAATTTTTCATTTAACTTATGATTAATATTAAGAGTAAATGTTAATTTAGATTTATAATAATAACTCTTTTTTTGTTAAATGGCAGCTCATAAATTTACTAAAAAATTGGAAGATCGCTACTGTATTTAACATTAATCACATTGGTAGTAAAATACGTATTGACGTATTGTCGTATATGATGTTAACCAAAACTGTAGTGTTATGAAACGGATTTTTTTTACGTTTTAAGTAAGAGAAACCCGTTTTTTAGTAAGCCCCTAGTTAAATAATTTTTATAATAAATATGTGCCTATTAGAATACTTAGAGCAATTTATCTTAGATAATATAGCATAAAAAAATTAATATATAAATTGAACTTTTTGTACATAATGAACTATAATTTCAAATTAATTGGTTTTGTTATTGTTTGAAAAACAATTAAATTAAATTAATCTATATTGTTACCTTTTCGATTTAAAGTTAAAAATATATATAAACATGCACAATATATTGTTAATTATTTATAAAAAATATAATTATTGTGTTAAGTTTTCTTAAATATTCTGCTATAATATGTTCAGTAAAATTTCTGAATGAAACTCTAAAATCTATTAAATGATATAGTTATTAGGTAGTTAAAAATTGTACTGTTCAGCATGTCGTCCTTAGGCTTAAAAAATCTTGTATGTGCAAAAATAGAAATTCACGATGAAATTCTCTGTCTATAATGAATAATAGTATTTGATATGATAATAATATTATAATATTCATTTAGTAATATATACTTAATTTTTTATACATGGGAAGTGTTTCACGTCAAGCGACTATGTTTAATATATACTACAATAAACCATATCTCTATCTTTTTTTACTATCATATCGCAACGATTCTTATTTACATGCAAAATGATTCTGTTATCACAAACTATTCAATTACTTGTAAAATAAAAATATCATTAATAATTATTAATATAATTATTTTCTAAAATATAATTTTGTTAGATATGTATATAATTATTTAAATTAAATAATTTTATATTTTTATTAAGTATATGAAATGAACCAAAAGTGTTTATTGATAAATCGAAGCATTTCTCTAAAAAGGCACCATACAATTTTTTGCAATATTATTTTTTTTGAGTAATTGATATTTTTGAAAAGTAGTTGTAATAGCAGAATCACACTTGTGTAAAGATGGGACATAATTAAAAATCTGACATTTATAAGTCACGCGTGTAGTATACAAATAAAATTAAATGTTGGCTAGCTAAAATCTATTTTATATTATATCTATATGATAAATCTTTACTTGACGTCACTAATATTATATTTATTAATTTACTATAGGACATTTACATAAATCAACAAAATATGAATTCTATTTCAAAAGTAAGAACTTCGATAATTTTATGTTCATATATTTTTAAAAATAACACTTCGTACTTATTTATTTATTAAGTATTTTATTTTAAGTTCATTTTAAGTATTAGTTAGTGAAATGAAATTCTTTACCCACCTGAAATGTATATTTATATCTAAGCATATTTCTTTTTCTAAATAAATAATGAGCTTTGATTTCTATAAATAAGCTTATCAAGCTATAATAAAATTATACAGGAACATAATAATATAAAAAAATATATTATAATTATTTGTGTATCAATTTTCAACGAATTCACTAGATCAATTGATCTATTCCTATCATGGACCTATGGTGAAATGGGGGTGATTGTAAATTTATTATTCTTTGAGAATATTTAGCAAGTTTTATTTTATATTAAAAAATTGTAGTCCTTATATTGCTATCATATTAAATATAAATTCGAAATAATAACATGTACATATATCTACAAAAATGCATTTACAACTTCTCCACCACGCCCAACATAAGTTATTGTTTTGTTCAATTTAAAATAATATACGTAATGTTCTAAACATTTACACTGTTTATAAAACTACAGTAATAATATTGTTTGACAAATAATAAACAACAAAACTTTTGTTAATATTTTATTTATTGATTTCAAATATTTTTAACAGTAGTAATTTATTTAAATTTAAGCATCATTAAAAACTTTTTACCTGTAAATTAATTTTCGTTATTGTTTGATCACATGCTAAATGTTAAATGAAATTTGTATAATTTTTTTAATATGTATTGCATATTTTTAATAAAAATAACGTTTCAATTTTTAAATACATAAATAGCAATTAAGCCTTCATCTATGTATGTATTCAAAATAAACTAATTCTGTTTATTATTTTTGTTCTTCTTTCGTAATTTTTAGCAATTATGAGTTCCTACATCAAATATTTCCAGATATTTTATTGCTATGGTCATCAGAAGAAATGCATGAGTTAAGAATTTTTCATCGCCTGACTGGTGCAAGTGAAATTAGCTTGTGTGACAAAAAAAAATTACTTATCACAGGAATAAATTCAGATTGGAATTCAGATTTTATTATTGTGTATGACATGTAAATATAGATGTAAAACTTAAAATTGAGCGCCCCCAATTTAGAAATTTGACAATATTATGCAAGATATTTTATAAAAACAAATAAGTAGTATATTTCTTGATACTCACGTATAATTATTATTTATAGATATTCACTGAAGAAACAAATTGATTTATAGATATTTAATTCTATTGTAGGAATAAAAAAAACAAAAAATAAGGGACAATTTTGTGTGCAAGTGGGCTTTTTTATCGGCCTGCAACAACAATGTGGTTGGCCACTTGCATAACGACTAGCTAGGTAGCAAGGGTCGTCACCACCTAGGCGAGGTGTCACACCTATCAGATATGATTAGCGGATCATAGGTGGACTTTAATTTTAAGTTAATTAAAAGCAGGCACGTAGCCAGAAAATGTTTATTGGAGGGGCCAACAATTTTGGGCCCTTGTATCATTTTCCATAATTTGTTTTCCATGAAATACTTGTGGAGGGGCTCCCTCCACTCGTCCTTAAATAGTACCCCATAATATGAATCTTACAAGTTCAAAATTTTACCATTGGTTGGTTAAATACAAATTGTTTTCGTATAAAGTATACTAATTATTACAGTATTATAAAAAATGGATAGTACCTATAATTTAAAAAAATAAAAAATACTTACATCTTTACTATCGGGATGAATTTTTCATGTTGTGAAAAATAAATAAAATAATGATGTGAACATAAACTGATTTGATTTGTCAACTTTTAAGCTATTAAGAAAAAATAATTTATACCTAAATACTAATAACAAATAAGTTATAAATAATTTTTAAAATAATTATAATTTATAAACAATTTAAAATTTATTAAAAAAAAAATACAAATACAAAAAATTTTTTTGAAAATATAATATATAAAGTAATAATTAGATTTATAAATATTAAATAGTTCAATATAAAATTATTTTTCTGTTTTTGTGTTGTTCAGAAAACAACTGCACAAAAATATCTAAATCCAAGTTCTTAGATATTTTTTTTTCTATGCTTATTGAAGCCAAATTAACCAACCGTTCATTTGTCATCCGATTCCTCATGTAGTTTTTCAAACGTCGGAGACATGAAAAAGTCCTTTCGCAAGCTGAACTGGATACTGGAATAGTTATTATAATTATAGCTAGCTTATACGTTTCGTCGAATGCAAGCTTGTACTTTTCAAGTAAATCAATTAAATTCATCAAGTTGTTTACCTTAACATTAAAATGAATTTGATATTTGATTATAGTTGCTGGTAAGATTTTTAGTTCTGCTCTTAAATTATCCAGATCAAGATTATAGTGAGCAGCTAAAGGTTTTAATTGTTCATAACATAAAAACTGTTCATGTTGAGGGTGTAAGTAAGATATTGATGCCAACAAACCATAATTATCTGTAAATCGTCTTTCTAGTTCTTTAATTATATAATCCAACGCTGGTATGTATACATGTTGTCTTAAACCATTTTTTGATGTAATCAGATTAGTTTCTAAAGAACTGAGCTCAGTAAATATGAACTGTTTAAATTTGTCGGGGATTTTTTTTATTCTTTTTTTTGTACTGTGTTCATTTTGTGTGGATATGTCGTTCTCTTTACAAATATTAGTAGCTTCAACGTACATTTTATTAAAATTGGAACTGTTTTTCTCGGCTTCATCAGTTCTCATGATTTTAAAAGTAGTTATAATTGATGATATAAGTATTAAAGATTGAGCCATTTCAGCTTTTACATTTTGCAAGTAATCACTAACTGTTTTTAGAATTTGAAGAATATCACAAAACATTATTAAATTAAATACAAATTCAAAATCTATTAAATGTAGTAAGCCCTTTGCTTCAGCAGCACGGTCGCCTTTCTCAAACATCAATTTATTTAATAAAACTAGCAGAGGAGTAAGAGCCTTTTTTAGTGCTAAGCAAGCAAAGACTTGAGCTGTCCACCTTGTCAAACATATCTTTTTAAGTTCAACAACTGGTCTGTACTTCATAGTGGTTTGAATTTCGATGAATTTTGCGTGTGTAGCAGAACCAGATACAAAGACGTATAAGTTTTCTACAATATCAAAAAACATTTTCACAGATGGAATATTTTTGCATACGTCAGAAATTACAAGATTGAGCCTATGATTGTAACAGTGTACATATATAGCGTTGGGTACTTCTTGGCGAAATAATGCTTGAACCCCATTATTCTTTCCAGACATGACACTGGCTCCATCATAGGTTTGAGCAACGCATTTTAATATATCTACGTTACTGGTAGAAAGTATTTCTTTAATATATTGAAAGAGAGAACTAGCGGTTAATGATTGAGCTGCTTTAAACCCCATGAAACGTTCATACACTATACCATCTAAGTAATATCTTAATATAACTGATAACTGTTCCACTTTAGTAATATCTTGTGTTTCATCAACAATTATAGAAAAATACAGACACTTTTCTAATTCATCAATAATTTGGTTATGGATCATTTTATTGAAAATTGAAAGCATTTCATTCTGGATTTGAGGGCTTGTATATTTAGCATTATTAGGTAATGCATTTTTTTAAATTTTAAATTCATCACTTAAATCCCNTTTTTTTTAATTTTAAATTCATCACTTAAATCACCAATTAGATTTAAAAGTTCGATAAAGTTACCACGGTTAGCACTACTTTTTTCTTCATTGTCACCTCTCTGTGATATGCCTTGTAATGCAGTGTATAACAAAGTTCTTCCAATCATCTTTATATAAATTTGATTTTCTAAAACTAACTTCTTATGACCTTCATTTATCAATGACACCACAGACAAATTACCTGACTTTTTCTTATCTAAGTAGGACATCCACATTATGTTTGAAATCTTGTGTTCTTCACTTTTGTTGTGTTTTCTTAAACCAGAATTTTTATCTAACGCATTTTTCCAATTTTTAAAACCCATACTTATAAAAATTGGCTTATCTGTGCTTTTAGAAAAAAAACGACACGGAAAACAAAAAGCAGAATCATCTACAACACTGTATTCAAGCCAATTATAATTATTAAACCATTTTGATGAGAAATGTCTCATTCTTTTATTAAATTTTGTTTTAGGGTACCATACTAATTTTGGCTGTTTTGGTCCATCATCTAGGGCTTGAGAGAGATCTTTTGGTCCAGGAACTACTTTAACTATTTTGACTGATGGGCTGTTTGTAGGAACTAATGTAAAATCACTTACTTCATTAATTTCATCTTCAGATTCACTATCATTATTAGTATCGCTACTTGTGTTGATATAATCCAAATTTAAATTAATATCACTGTTGTCATCATTATCATCATCATTGGAGTCATTTTCCTATTTGATAAATAAATAATAATACAAAAGATATACAGGGTGATCAAAATGTGGTAAGACATTCATATTCTCAGAAAATATTGAGAATTTTTAAATTTTATTATACAGAAAAAATATCAAGTTCAAAAAACTCTACAATAATATGTAGTCAAAACATTATTTTTTTCGTCCCTTCAAGGATAAAAACCCTTATTTATAATTTTCTTAAATGGGAACCCTTATTTTTAACTTAATAATATGATAGAAAAAAAAATTACAAACAATTTTGTTCTTATAATTTTTTTTATCCGATAAACCGTTCGTCTGTTACAGCTTGTTAAAGTTAAGTGATTTTAGGCCAAATTTCTATTGTCGTTTTACTGTATTTAATACAGAAGTCATTATTTTTATTTGCTGTTGCATAAACCAAATTTTATTGATCAAGTTATGACAGGTAAATTAGCTATAAAAATTTACTACGCACTAAATGAGTGATGACAATAATAGTTTCAAACCGGATTTTCGGTGTATTATTAATAGCGAAGTCTATGGTTTTGTAAGACTAAAGGATCTAACAAAAATACCGGTTGCACTGCCACCGATATTATAAAATGTAATAAATGACAATATTTTTTCTGGAAGTCAAAATCTTTAAACAATTATAAAACGTAAACGGTTGTTCGGATAAAAGAAATTATAAGAACAAAATTGTTTGTACATTTTTTTTTCTATCATATTATCAAATCAAAAATAGTGATTCCCATTTAAAAAAATTATAAATAAACATTTTTATCCTTGAAGGGCTAAAAAAANACCTTCTCAGCTTCGCATCGAAGCTAAAATGTATTTAACTTATTATTATTGTAGAGTTTTATAAACTTAATAATTTTTCTTTTTACAAAAATTTTAATTTTTCAATAGTTTCTGAGAAAATAAGAGTCTTACTAGATTTCAATCACTGTATAGAAGGTAAAAGAAGTTAAATTACATTAGTAGTATTTACATTATTATTTTATGGACTTACTATGTTTAAATCCAATTCGTTTGTAACTTTCTGTTTTTTTGAAACGTTAAAAATTGAAAATAATTCCTGCCTTTTTTCAGTCATATTTTTAAAAGCATGAAAATAACAAATTTACACAAAGAAATAAATTACTTATTATTAGTACTAAATTATAAAACAAGAAACAGATGAAAGATAACATTTATCAAAGAAATTTCCAAAGAGTATTACTCTATCAAATTTTGTAAATAACTAGATTTTAATCAATGCACATACTTGGTAGTTTGTTATCATTTGTTGGACCAGAGTTAAAAAAAATTTACCTACAACCACGTTCGGAGTAACTGCTATTCCATTTATTATTACGTCTAGAATGTAATATTCTTTTTCAAATAACATTTTCTATGAATATAAAAATGAAAATACAGCCATACTAATAACTGTATTACTCAATAGTAATCAAAAATTAATAATAATTTCAATGTATATAAGGCCTAGCACCTTTTTGATAATTTGTAAAAATAATTGAATTTTAAATTTGGGGGGGCCAGCCCTGGGCCACATTAATTCTAAGGGGGGCCAGGCCCACCCATAGCTACGTGCCTGATTAAAAGTGTAATTTAAGTTAATATGTCGTTATATGTATAAATTATTACAATACCTCGTGGTTTATTAACTACAACTATGATAATTAAAGTTGTATATGGTTGATATGTAAAACATACCGTAGCCCGTGTCTAGATTAAGGAACATAGACAATATACACGTGAGTACTTAAGTTACTCGTGCAATAAAATAAATATTACAGTTAAAATTAATAAGGTGTAACGTGACAAAAGTATCTATTTATTTTTTTGTCTATTTGTATATATATATATATATATATATATTTGTGTTGAGCCGAATGCGGACTGCGACGGCGTTTGTCGGTAAAATTATCATGATAAGGTGTTGTGATTTGTTTATGCGCGTGCGAGATAGTCAGCTGTGTACTACTTCAGACCGGTTCATGGACGGCATTTGTGTGTACATTCACCCCGCTCCTTTCCTATCTAGAACGTCAATNACCCCGCTCCTTTCCTATCTTGAACGTCATTTGCACTGCTCACCGCATACATTGTCGCCATATGATTTAAATTGTTTTTAATAATTTCCGGCACTGGGTATTTAGTTATTTTTTGACCCCTACTCTAAAGGCTAGCCGTTTGGTCGCCAACGGACCGCCGGGTCAAACGTCTGACGGGTTGTCGGAAATTAGCCATCATCGGAACTGGTCGTCGCTAATTTTCGTCCGTAGCGGTCTTTTTTGTTATGTGCGTTGCAATTTTTTAATTTTTTATATATATTTTCGTGAGTGTCCGCTATTTTTTGATTATGTAATTTTTTTATATTGGCGTCGGCTAAACCTGCCTCCATATTCGTTAGCCCTTCGGGGCTGGTAATGTATATTTTTGTTTTAATGTTTCGAGCCAGTTTTTTTTAGTGCGCCGTGCCATAAGCACGTGTGGCGAATTTTTTTTTGTGTAGGTGCCCCTATATTTTTTATTTAGGTGCCGCAACATGGCAGACGTGTACAAGACCACCTGTCATGGAATATATATATTTTTTATAGGTTTTATATTAATTTTTTATTGGGTGATGAAGATGTTATTAGTACAATGTGGTGATGTAGTGCATTTTATCCCGGGGTGTCCCAACGTCTTGCAAGCTAAGCCTAACTGCCAAAAACCAGTCGCTTAATTGGGACGTATACCCGCCGTGCTTGGCGGTAATACCGCGATTAATAGCCGGCGGGTACACGAAGACGTTCATCGTATTCTCTAATATTAAAAGTGTAGGTGTAACTACTTTTTTATTAATATCTGTTTTTTTTTCTCTCTGTTCCCCTTTAATTTGTAGACGAGGTTTTTTGACCATTCGGTTTTTTGCCTCGTAGTAACTTAATTTTTTTTTGTTTTTTTTTTTTACTTAATAAAGTCCCCTTAATTTAAATTAACCATCATATTTTTCTTTTTTTTTTTGCGTGTTCCATCTTCAATGGACTCGTGTATTTTTTTTTCCTTTCAAAAATCAACTCCCCTAGTTTATAAGGTACGGGCAACGGCCTTGTATAAGGTCATCCCTGATCTATATGGTTATGTGACAACTGTCACGAGGTTTTGGTGTACATCTACTATCAACGACTCAACGGACATCAACTTGAATATTTATTAATTATATATTTTTTCTAATTGTTTTAATATACAAAAGTTAATTTTTTTTAAATCCTACTGTGGTCCGACAATACACTGTCTCGCTCAGTAGGTTGGCGACCCTTTTCTTATAATTTTGTAAAACGCCATGAAAGTTACAAATTTTTCGTTGCGGCCAATTAGTTTGAATTTTTTTTATATTTGTAACCTTTCAAAGGAAATTTAATTAATTGTTAAAAAGAAAAATTAAGTTAAACATGGACAAAAATAAGTGAAATCTGGTAAAAGGTTATGTGACTCAGTCTGAGTCGTGTGAAAATTTTATGGAGGAGTGCTCTAATTGAAAGGATTATAGGGGAAGTATGAGAATCAAAAGGGTTAGAATCAATAGCCTAAAGACAAGCCTGCGAATCTGAGCAGATGAGAAAAGAGGTATTTAGAGAAACAAAAATGTAGAGTAGTGCATTGACAATAGTAATGTATTCAATAGTAAAGGAAGAAGAAAGGGGATGCAGGTTGGTGGAAAAGAATATATTAAGACTTAGTATGTAGTAAGCACAGCCTGTTTTAGATAATGAGGGAGATTCATCAGTAAAAATTAAACATGAGTTTTGAAAGTTTGTAGAAATATAGTGAGAGAATAAATTATTAATAATGGTCAAGGAAGGGATTGAAGGTTATAAGGTGAGAAGCTTAGGCCATTAGTTAGAACATGAACAATGGGGGCGAAGATTAAGGCCTCGTGAGGACAGTCATAAATGGGTAGACGTCTATAGGACTTCTGGATATAATTAGTGAGAGGAGAAAGTGAAGAACATATAAAAGCAAGGATAGGAAGAGATTTGGGAACATGACGTCAGAGACAAACAATGCGAACAGTTTTAAAAAAATTAAATATTGAAGGTTTGGGACGTGCAATTATCATTGATAGTAATCGGAGTAATTTGTATAGACTGATGAGCTGCAATAGCGACA